AAGAGCACCAGAAGCTGAAAGACCCTGCACCAGCTTCATTAAGTAGGAATTCAAACCAAGATCAAACCCAGAGAGATGACAACACTGAAAATTGCTGAAACCTAAACTGTAAAGTACCTTTTATTTTAAGCCTGTTAGAGCTGGGGAGGAGAAACCTTTTTCTTTTCTTCTTCAAAATAAATTTCCCCCTTTTGGACTTTACATTCAGCATTAGAGCCTTTTTGGGTAAAAGAGTTTAATCTCACCAGGGTACTGGTGTTGCACACCTATATTTGCCACCACTTTTAGTTGGGTGTGTCTTCACAAGGGCTATCATACAATCATAGATCTGAAAGAGACCCCAAGGGTGATCCACTCCAACCCCATTCTGCCATGCAGGAAGACATCATCCAAGCCCTCCCTGTGATAGATGGCCATCCAGCCTTTGTTTTAACAATCTCCAAAGAAGGAGATGCCACCACCCTTCGAAGCAGCATACGTGGTTATACATTTTTGGCCATTGTTCAGTAGACATAGTTCATGGTTACAAAAGCCGATTTCCATGAGTGTAGCCATTTCACAGATACTTACGCATTCTTTCATTGTGCGTAACTATTCCTCATGCCTTCAATGCCCCATTTGAATCACTGGGACTGAACAGCCATTGAGCATTTGCCTTCGCACTTCATGACAGGAAGAGGCCACATGGGCAGATCCAGCATTGGTTGCTCCACAATCTCTGCTTAACTTATATGAGTGTAGTAGATTTACACTATGCAAGCATGAGGCAAGGATCTCAACTGTACTTTCTGTAAACTATATATCCTATGGGTCTCAGGGCTTTCCCATTCAGCAGTCCGGAATTTCTTATCTTATCCGGAATTTCAAAATCCAAAATACTCCAAAACCCAAAACTTTGTCAGCTATGTACCTGTACAGTATTTGCAAGGCTGGAGAGAGACACAGCTGAAGAGAAATGGGAGGATCTATGAAATGGTGGGATCCCTGGATTCATGCTCAACAGTATGTTTAGATGCCTGCCATTTCACAAACCTCCAGTCTCTCTCCAGCCTAATTATATCTCATTATGTCTTTGCAAATGGAGGTATTCCAAAATGTGGAGGGGAAAATCCAAAATATGAAACTCTTCTGGTCCTGAGCATTTTGGATAAAGGGGACCCAACCTGCACTATGAAAAAGTAATGAACTGCTTCACAGTATCATAGTATTTATAGCCATATTTTACCAACTGTACTTACTTTTACCGGTGGCTGATGGCTTCGATATCTCTCTGGGTTTTAGATGGACTTTTGAAGGAACTGTCCAGCATCGTGAATCTGTTTGGAGACTATGGTTCAGCACTTTGGATAGCTCCTTGAAATTTCACAGAATCCTAGAGTTGGAATAGCCCTTAAGGGCCATCCACTCCAGCCCCATTCTGCCATGCAGTCAAAGCTTTTCTGTAGTTTGAATCCATTGCTCCATGTCCTGGGTTGCATCCGTACTGCAGAAATAATGCAGCTTGGCACCACTTTAATTGCCATGGCTCAAAGTGATGGAATTCTGGGATTCAGCCACCTCTGCGGAATCCCAGAATTCCATAACATGGAACCACAGCAGTTAAAGTGGTGTCAAACTGTGTTAATTCTGCTGTGCAGATGAAGTCAGAGTCTCATCTTCAAATGGCCCAGAAGAGTGATGGGGCAGGAGAAAGAAGGGCAGTCCTCTCAAGTGGTCACTTACTGCTCATCACCAGTCCTCTAAACTGGAACCACTGGCTGTGTCCAGGTTTAGGACAAGGACTTGGCCCAAGGCCTGTAAACCTACCAAAGCCTGGTGGTACGCATTCAGAAAGCACTGGGTTCAGGGTCTGCTTCCTTCATCAGCTCCCTAACCTTAAAGGTTCACATTGCAGGAATGTCCGAATCTATCTGGAAAACCACTTCTTGGAATTGGAATCTATCTGGGAAATCACTTTTGTAACCACCTTTGAATTGTTTTATCATTTTATTGCATTGCATTGCAGAATGCATTGCATTGCATTGCAGAATGCATTGCATTGCAGAATGCATTGCATTGCACTGCATAATGCATTGCATTGCATTACATTGCAAAATGCCTTGCATTTCAAGGTGCATCTACACTGGAGAGATAATGCAGTTTGACACCACTTTAAGGCAGTCACTCCATCCTATGGAAGCCTGGGATTTGTAGTTTTACACAGTCTTCAGCCTCCTCTACCCCAAAGTGCTGTGGCTCTCCAAACTACAGATCCCAGTATCCTGTGTGATGGTGCCATGATGGTTAAAGTCAGGGGTAGGCAACCTAAGGCCCAGGGGCCGCCGCCGCCCCTCACCAAGATGATATTGATTATTGTTGTTATTACTTGTTCTTGGTGTTTTCTTGGCAAAATCTCCACAGGGGTTTTGCCATGGCTTTTCTGGGGCTGAGAGAGTGTGCATGCATATTTTTAAAATTTATTTATTTATTTATTTATTTATGGTGCTTCAGCCCCCCAATTGTCTGAGGGACAGCAACCCGGCTCCCGGCTCAAAAAGCTTGCCTACCCCTGGTTAAAGTGGTGTTAAACTGCATTAGTTCTACCGTGTAGATGCTGTACTGTTTTAGCCTAAGTGTTGGATTAGGATTCTGGGAGTCCAGGATTTGAATCCTCTTTGAGCCCTGGAAACCCACTGGCTGATCTTGAGTCAGTCACACACTCTCAGCCTAAGAGAGAAGGGGGAATGGTAGTGTTAGGAGAGCCTGCACAGGTTTGAGTGTTGGACTGGGACTCTGTGAGACGTGGATTCAAATCCCCATTTGGATATGGAGACCCGCTGGGTAACCCTGGGCAAGTCACACTCTCTCGGCCTCAGAGGCTTGATGGCCCATGAGGCCTCTACCAACTCTAGAATTCTATGACCCTATGACTCTATAGGAAGTGTAAGCTGTCATTCTCTGAGAAGCCAAGTGTTTTTTAAGCAGCAGATCCTTT